TGAATGTAATGACGTACACTGCAAAATAGAGATGTCCTTTGGTCCAATGAAAAGCACTGTACCGCATATGGACATTTTCGTATTGATTTATACAATGAACAGACATCAAGGTATACCATCATGTAATGCCTTGTGGACCTGCTTCGTATGATAATATATTACATATTATTACCTGTCTAGCTAATTAAAATATGTTGAATGTGAATTCAACCTGAAAGTCATCCTTGAAATGTCTCTTTACGAAAACAAGTCAGAATAGAACCCTTTCTTTCCTTTTATATCTAACACACATGTATCAGCTACACGTACAGCTGTACATGAGAAGAATGTAACCAAGTGAACTGTTTGATTAACAGATCCGTAGTGTTCTCACATTGTTTACTGCAGGCTTGTCCTTGCTGAAGTGCAGCAGGTATAAACAGTGTAGTGCACACTACCTTTGATCAGGAAGCCTGAGCAATAACTGTATAACAGGGGTCAGGTCTGGTTCACAGGGGCCCTGCAAACAAGTGCTGCTTTGTTTGGGCGGCTGCAAAAATAAACCCTGTCTGGGAAGAGCACTGAAGTCTTGGGGCATTGAAGGAGCTACAATCTTCCCCTTATATCTCTGAGTGAGAGGAAGTCATCAGAAGGGTATCCAAGTCAAGTACATGACCTCTCTCCTATTTTAAGATGATAAACAGTAAGATGCCCTGAGAAATGTCAAAACTTCTAAGTGTAAATTTTTAGGCTGTCTGGACTGTCTGCAATCCATCACCTCATGAATGGTGTCTAGACCTGCTCTGCTTTACTACTGATAGAAAGTGGGGAGGGAGCCTCAGACAAGACTGCATTTATGGTACATGAAAGGCTGGGACCAGACCTATCTGAACCCTGCTACTTCTTTAGTTCTTATGGAGGGACTGTTGTATACTAGCACGTGCACAGTAGTAGCTGGCATATCATCATCATCATCATCATCCATACAATACAATGACACATAATATCCCTATTCAGGCTATGTTGTTGGTGACATGACAAAACATACACAATCATGCAATTGGATTGGTATACTGCTCAAGGATATGCCATGCTATTATATGTCAAGTTTCCAAGCAATCACACTTTTAAAAGGACGCCCATTCATCGCCTTGGTCTGAGGTCGACCGCTTTTTATCTATTTGGACACCCCAAGGCAGAACCCTTCAATCCACATGCCCTTATGTAACATATACAAAATGTATATCCAGCTGCAGGAAGGTTCACCCACATGATAGGTACATGCATGATGTACCTTCTATCTAGATCTCATTCTCAGAAGTTCAAGAACTCAGTAGACCATTGCTGCTTTGGCAAAATAGGACATGTGGTTGCACAGACAAAACATGGAGAGTCTGACATGAGCTCTGTTTTACAGCACTAAAATGTGATGCATTGAGAACCATGGGAGGAATGCAAACAATCACTTGTACAAAGGAAGTGCTTGCAACACAATGGTATCCATGTTGTTGTGCTACAACTCACCACAACAGTCTGTGTTCCGTTATCTTCCATATCTTTCATTTGAAAGCTGTCTGGTATCAGGTTATCCTGGTAATCTCAGAAATATGTCAGGACAATGCAGTTATCACAAAGTACCAAAGTAGATCTATTTTCTGTTGTCCCTCACTTGGGGAACAATACTGTATGTGAAGTTGTGAACTTATTGATTTGACCTTTTCACATGCCCTTTGGTCAGGGTGTAACTGTAACACAGTCCAATTCTACAAGATAAGCTAGAAAATATCCAACTTCAGTTCATTTGTGTTTGAACAGTTGCTGCACAATGAGAATACATTTACTATTGATTCAAGAAAACACCTCACACATGGCAGCAGAAAAATGTCACTAAACATATTAGATTTTCAGTACCTGCACAAGGTCATGGCATTTGTTCTGAGCAAATAATTATGGCTGAGCTATAAATTAACATGTGGGAACTGGGAACATGCACAGGCAAGTAAAATGACTTCAGCCTTATGCCATAATGGTATAACAGAGTTGTTTCCTAGGTGGCTGGGCCAGCTCAAAACATGTCTCAACATTGCATGGTAGAAGAATGGTAGTTGATTCGCATACAACTTGCAAATATACATGCATTTTTGGGAGGGTTTTCCAAAAACATATTGAAACTACCAGTACAAATGTATATACAGATGTTTTCTTTTTTCCCAATCTTAGTCTTACAGATTATCTTCCTAATGTAAGCAGCTTTCAATAATAAACATATTGAATTATGCATCTATCACATACTGGTTGCAGTGAAAGACACGTGAATTGCTCAAAATTAATATTTAAGCAGGTTATGAATAGGTGTCATTTGACAAGCAATGACTCCCATGTCTGAAACTGTCCTGTAGAAAGTAGAATGTTGGTGGTTGTATGTATATTGGTGCAACCACATAACCTAGTGGCACATCTAATCAACAGCAATATCTTTGCAGCCATGCTTCATACAAGGCGCTTACAACAGCACCAAAGGTTTAATTGCTTCCAAGCAATTACGTTTGTATGCTGTTCAATGGGTTTGATCTTGATGTATGAGATAGCACAGATCCAATGATCTAAAACTCAGTGTACTGAAGTGGTCAGTGACAGTAGTATGGTACCTAGCACAGTTTTCTACCCTTGAATGTTTCATCACCTTGCTTGATGGTTTGTTCAATGTAATAATCTTGTAAAA